ATGACGTAAATTGAGTTTTCCATACATTTCCAATGAAGGTTACTACAAAACTTTTAGTCCAACATTAATAACGATAAGCATTACAATATCACGTTTTATTTTTAATTATGCCTATCACAATACGTACGTCAATACTTCAATTATTATATGCTACAAAAACATGAACTGCAATAAAAACTAATGTTAAAGGTTTGTATGGGGTACAATCAGAGACGTTCCTAACTAAAATTTACAGACCTCGATACAACAAATAATGCCTAGTGGATCTTTTGATTTAAAATGCTCATTTGTTCAAAATAAAAACTTTTAGTGCTAATTTCTTTTATAGTCGCACGAGCAAAAACGCGTAAATAGGTGGACGTGTGCAATACCCAATTTCTCCAACCAGGTCTGTCTGAAAATATCACCTACTTCTTGTTGTGTATCTATTGCCCTAAATAAAAATTTAACCGAACTCTCAAAATAAAAATTCCATTTAATAGACCATATTCTAGATATGGAATGTAGGCAATTTGTTTACTTTCATTATTTTACTAAACGTTTCAATCATTAGCAATTTTCACAATGTCCAATCAATGGCTATCTCAGCTGTATCAATGTTCTTTAGAAAGTAATGATGATGACGCATGGTGACCACAGACTTTTCGAAATTAAATTCCCTGACTTTTCCAACTTTTCCAGACATCTAATTTTAAAATCCCCTGACTAAGTTTAGAAACATTCAATTATATGTATGGTTAATAGACAACTGTATCTAAAGAATATTACTTCAAAAACGGGCAATAAGTAAGAAATTTTCATGCACATTTTTGTTTTATTTATATTTATTAAATAAATATGAAACAGTAGTACTTTTAGTTTTAAAAACTAGACAACATATGTAATACATAAATACTCTTTTATTTATCTTATTTACTCTTCAATTTTTCGATTTCATCATCTATTGATACAATATCTCTACGACTAGTTTCGAGTAGAGCTTTCTTTTTATCAAGATTTTTCAATTGCTGTTTCTTCATATATTTATTCTTAGCATCAAGGTCATCTAATTCTTTATCTTTTTTATTTTTTTAAATTTTTCTTCATAGCGGCTTCTTGTATTTTTAACCGACTNGAGGGACTGCCTGCCCACCAGCATTAGTGGCTGGTGGGAATGAAACAGCCAAAAGTAATGTTTGTAAGGTCGGTAGTACGGACTCGTCACGGACACTGTTCGGCCACAAGACGGTGGAGCGTGAACCATCCTTAATGAGGCTATTGTCTAACATAGATAAGTAGGACCAGTGAGAGTCTCGTCTTTTTCAAAAACGACGTAAACGATACGTAATTAAAAAAAGGACGATATTCAATTCGTCCTTTCTCGTACACTGCACACGTGAAAAATTAAATTTTCACTGTTTATAAAAGGTGCACTTTCGAATTTGGGAGAAATCTCTTAACTTTTCCAGTAAAATGGAATTCCATGACATTTCCAGGTTTTCCAGTTTTGTGGCCACCATGTGACGATACTGATACCTATGTAGAATATATTGAATATTGGGATAGGGCTGCACCTACAGTTATAGATTTCTTCCGATTTTGAAGGGGTAGGTGAAGGTTTATTTATTATTGAAAGTTACAGTTTTCAGAATAGAAATTCTTTTTTGCCTTCGTGTAATAAAAGCGCAAGATTGCAAAATGCATGTTTCTCTTCATGTAAATCAGCCTATTCTCTTAATTTCAAAGGTGTAAAATCGATTTAGAAGTCTAGGAGCACCGTTCGTTTGCCCTAGTAGTAGTTATGGCATTGATACCAAATTTGTTATTTGAATTTCTTGTTTTATTGTATTTTAATACATGTTTCAATAGCTTTGGAGCAACAAATTTTCATCATTTAGTGGAGGTAGACAACCACTCTCTTCTCTGAAATCTTCATTCTTTTAAAAATTTATTTGATTTTAAAAAGTACATTTCACTTTGTTTAATTTAAATATTGTAAAACAATAAAAAATATCGTACATATTACGTAGTTTCTTGACATCAATTAATTTCTTTTTCCAACAAAAAGCCAACGAATACTTCTTCTGACAATTTTCTTTTAAATAATTGACTTATTCTTCACTTCGTGTAAAATATGTAAGTCTGTCATCATCTATGCAAATTGGTAGCAATTAAATATTTCGCTTATTGGAATTTTCAGAAGACGGTTCTGCTTTGTTAAATTGTGAGTTAAATTTAGAGTACCTCATTACTATAGTTCTAGTAACCGCAACGTTCAATCTTGTTTACCACGTTGCATTTTGTATGTGCATTATTCCAATTAATTATTGCTTTAGTCCTTGAGTTACTCTTCCAACATTGCGTATTTTTTTTACAACTAACGATAAATAATCAAACAAATTTCTTATCATTCCTAATGTAAATATAACGCACATAAGTAATCAAATTGGAGTGCAATTATGTATTTTATGCTGAGGACAGACTATCTTAATAAGCCTTTTGCTCACATATGCAACCAACTCAATGCAAATTTAAATAATCAAATAATTAAATGATTTTACCAAGGTGGTAACTAGTGATAATATTTAGTAGAGTCCTATAACATGTTTATCTTATCATTAATAAAAACCAACAAAAATGTAATGCAGACGAGACTGAAAGTAAACATTAATGTGTGTAGGTACTTATAAATGTACACTAAACTAAGTGATTTAATTTTATTGTCGGTCCAATATTATCAGATACGGTTCACAATTAGATAGATTAAACAATAACTTTAAATATTAAACTTTATTTTTACACTTAACAAAAGTTTTGGCTATTACACAGTAAATTTTTTACGGCATAGTAAATACGGAATATCACAAATATATCAAATGAATTCATAAATGTAAACATGATGTTATAATTAATAAACCGATAAATAGAAACGGGGCATTCCAGCTATTAGAAGTTAAGGTAAATGTGTAGATGATGGCCCCGAAGGGGGTGGGGGTGGGTTAGATCGAAAGAGGAGGTCTCCCCAACCACTGTACCATAAAAAGTTCGTGGCGGTATCACCCCCCATAAAAAGTTATGGGGGTTAGATGGGGGTGGGGGAAGGGGGTTCGACAGAGGGTGGTCACCTGAGTAAAATCCCATAAAAAATTTGCGGCGGTCTCACCCCCATAAAAAGTTATGGGGGTTGANAGATTGTGGGTTTTATTAATAGTCTGAATTATGTGCGTATTTAAAATGATGAATAATTATTCGAAAATTTGCATTTTTTACTGGTTCCACTTTCTCGAAAAGAACGCCCGAAAACAGGTACCCTTGTACACAATATATTTTTTGCGTGTGTACACAATTGTGTATACTTGCCTGTATATAATTAGATAAATACAAGCTTATCTCATCAAATAATGACCGCATGAAAATTGCAGTTTCGTACAGCCTGCGGCTGACCTGTACAAGAGGTCTTCATTAAATCCGAACTGCTGCTGTATTCCAAATTTTATGAAGGAACCGGTAATTTTAGGGGAGCCATAACCGCGACGTTATTGATCCTTTTCGTAAACGTAATAAGACAAGCCGTGCTTTTACCTGAACGATGGTAAAAGATGCGTAGCTGCGCTCCATAATTGTGAAATATGAAATACAGGCACTTGGAAACTTTTAAGATTTCGAAAGTTTTGAATCGACGATCTTAAGTAGTCACGGTGTCGACAAATAACAGTTTGCCTTTGTCATTACCTCATTACATAGAAATATTTACATGCCTAGAAATGTATAAAAATTGGCATATTCATTAACTTCGAACCCCCATAACTTTTTATGGGGGTGAGACCGCCACGAACTTTTTATGGTACAGTGGTGGAGGAGACCTCCTCTTTCGATCCCCCCCACCCCACCATCTAGACCTTTACCGAAGTTAAAACAAAATAGAGAAGGATTCAAAACAATTAGGTAAATATTAAATATAACAGTAAGTTATTATTTCATAACTTCATGCAAAGTCCAACTTTTACTATGCATTAGTTTGGTATATAAAAATAGTACGGACCCGGCACGGACACTGTTCGGTCACAAGACGGTGGAACGTGATCCATCGTTAATGAGGTCCAGTTTTAATCCATTGCTTAGTATTCGGTATAACGCCGTTTCAATTCCGGGGCCGTCTGCCTTGGTCCAAGTTTTTCTGTGGTTTCCTTGAATCACTTAGGCAAATGCTTGGGCCACAGGTAATCTTTCATTCTATTCTCTCTTCAATTCGTCCGTCTCATCTTTCCCACCCTAACCACCTCCCACCTATTCCCCCCACGATTCCTAAAAGGAGGCTGAAGAGGACCTTCCGCCCTACCTTCCGGCGTAGTCCAGAGGGACTGCCTGCCCACCAGCATTAGTGGCTGGTGGGAATGAAACAGCCAAAAGTAATGTTTGTAAGGTCGGTAGTACGGACTCGTCACGGACACTGTTCGGCCACAAGACGGTGGAGCGTGAACCATCCTTAATGAGGCTATTGTCTAACATAGATAAGTAGGACCAGTGAGAGTCTCGTCTTTTTCAAAAACGACGTAAACGATACGTAATTAAAAAAAGGACGATATTCAATTCGTCCTTTCTCGTACACTGCACACGTGAAAAATTAAATTTTCACTGTTTATAAAAGGTGCACTTTTGATTCTTTTTGTTTTTTTCACAACACATTACATTACTTATGTCAGCACTGGCTAATTAAAGTGTTAAACGATCTTGACCAATATATTTATTACAAAAATAAATAGGTCAGAAGTTCAGTGTGAAATTGGTAGATAATGTTTAGCGCTGATAAGCGCTATTGCTGTCAAGATTCATTCAACGTAAATAAAAACAAAAGGTCATACTTCCGGCAACTCTAATTTCTCAATGTAATTGTTATATATTATGCGTCCTATAAGTAGTGTAGTGTTACTTTCACTACATCACCATAGTTGCAAATATATTTACGAAAAAAAATGTATTTTTTTAATGTAATAACTATACAATAAATTAAAAAAAATACGTAAAAAATTAATACTTTTATTGCTGTTTCATTTTGTGTTTATCGTTGCTCTTACAAAGCAAATTTAAAATACCTTTAATAACAATATAAAAGGCAAGAACGGAAATAATAATTACCGCTATTAATACTATAATTACATCTACAAGAAAGTATTCGTACCATGGCATTTCGACTGCCACACTTCTTAGATGTGGAGCACCCTTATATTTTAATACATATTCAGTCCAGTAAACTGCCGTGTCTAAGGCTGAATCTGGTCTATCGCGGAATAATTCTGAAAGATGCTCCGCGTTCTTTTTAAAACTAAAAACAAAATAATAAAATAATTACAAAAAAAGTAAGTTCTTCCATTATCATTTACCTGGGATCATCAAGAAGTTTGGTTACTGAATTACGAAATGTTTCTTTGGTGACATCGTTAAACCTGAGTTTCAGTGCTACTCCTCGAGATTCTGAATTGCCAATGTTAAGTTCCTGATCAGCAAATATGGGGAGTCCTAGCGTTGGAATCCCACAATAGATGCTTTCCTGGGTACCCATCAATCCTCCGTGTGAAATAAATAGTTTTACATTAGGATGACCTAACGAAATTTGTGTAATTAAAAACTAAAATACTTTTTTATTAGCTCTCCGATGAAAGTTATATAACTTTTATTTGCTACTCGATTGTTATCTCTTAAATTTAATTGTATTGTAGACGAAAAACTGTCATTAAATTGGATAGCAACAAGTGATGCACGTACTTAAAATTTTCAATTTACTTTGTGTTAAAAAACTTTGTCATTCATGCCAATTATCTTTGTTCGACGTTAAAGCTTGCTTTAAAACAAAAACTTTATTTTTAAACAAATACAAAAGAAGATGAATGAGACGTCTTAACGACCAGTACACTCATTTTATCTTAAAAATATCATGTGTTGTCGACTTTTACAAATTTTGATCTTCTACAAGATATGTACTAGAGGCAGGCCATTATTTGACAAGTGTTCATTATATTAATAGTACAATAAATAACTTGTTCATACAATCGTTCATTGTATTAATAATTTAATGCAATACATAACTTGCACAAACAATTTATTATTCTGCTTCTGATTTTACAACTGTTTATATAATGCAGCAAGTCCTAAAGCAAAGTCAATTCAGAAATATATGTAACGCATAAGTAATTACCATATTCCTTGCTGTATGAGGGAACCGGCATATATTAAGAATATTATAGGAATGTAAGATGATAGGTGGTCAAAAATCTGTTTAATGGAAGAAATGAGCTATCTTGAATAATAATCCATCGAAATTGGGACAGAGGCTAAGCGAGATGCTAGAGGATTTAGAAGCAACTGAGGTCTGTAGAACCATATGGAATGAAAGCAGAGGGGATAGTGATAAACAAAATTCTCTTGGCCTTGCAAAAATGTAAGACTAAGATTAAGACCGAGTCTCTCTTTAGAGTGGCAAGACTAAGGTCAAGACTAAGACCGAACGAACAAGGGCAAGACTAAAACCATGGTTGAATATATGGATAGAAAGCAGAGGAGATAGTTATAGCAAAATTCTCTTGGTCTTGCAGTTTTCATTTTGGCATTACGAAAATGTAAGACTAAGACTAAGATCAAGACTGTCTTTATAGTAGCAAGACCAAGACTATGACCGAAAGAACAAGGGCAAGACCGAACGAACAAGACAGACTAAAACCAAGATCGAATATATGGAAAGAAAGTAGAGGGGATAGTGATAAACAAAATTCTCTTGGTCTTACAGTCCTGATTTTGGCCTTGCGAAAATGTAAGACGAAGACCAAGACTGTCTTTATAGTAGCAAGACCAAGACCAAGACTAAGACTGAACGAACAAAAGCAAAAATGTAGACTCATTGACGAGAGGAAAGAGACGCTTGTACACATACTGTGTTGTGCGGAGGCAATTAAAATGCAACATGAGGGGATAAGGAGGTTTATGAACGAACGGAGAGGAAAGTGCAATGAGAATGAAATTAAAAATTTAATTGTCATTACTTTAAAAGGAGAAGTATGCGAAGGCTTATGCGAATATTTTAGAACTGTAGAAAAAGCTAAGTTGAGATATTAAAGTTTATAACGTGAGAGAAAAGAAAGAATTGGCAGAATAGACAAGGCCACCAAATGTAAAAAAATCAGAATAGAAGGTTAAACTTGAAGTTTTAAGAATAGGTATTATTATGGAATCTAAAATTAAGGTGATACTGTAGCTGAAGAGATTGTAAACACCTGCGAGTATAGAATGAAAATAAACTACTACTACTACTACTACAACGACTACATGTGTTTGTAGAATCATGTGGAAATCAAAATTGTTTCATAAACGAATACACCTTAGCCTATCGTTTCCAGTTTTTTCTTTTTTCATTTCTATTTGTTGAGAATATTTTAAAACTGTTAATTTTATTTGTTTGTTTATGATTTCCACAATGTTTACGTATTTTCTATATTCTTTTCTATGACAGCCCGTATAGACGATGGTTCGCACTTTCTAAAGTTATCAAGATTTAGGTTGACAGATAAGAGCTTCTTGGGCATTGATTATCTTTAATATGCCAATTTAGTAGATGTTATAACTCTTAGAGATTAGTTTAAAATAAAAAATATATTTCCCGAGGCTAAAAACATATTACGTAACGATTGGAATTGACGGTTAAGTAGATGGATAAGAATAATTTATTTCAGTTACGTAAAGTAATTCGTTTGAATACAGAAAAGGAAGGTAGGTACCTATTAGAAAAAAGAAACAGAAAAACCTACATTGCTTATATTGCGCATTTTATCTGTATAATAAGCAGCTACACCACCGCACTATGATAATTTAATAACAGGGGCTAAATAATTCAAGCAATCAATCACGTAACCAAACGTTGTACCAAACTGAATTATAATAAGTTTTTCGGTCAACGATTAAATCTTGTGGAAATGTCAAGGTAACAGTGGAACCATAAAATAATAAAAGTAATTCTGACTTTGCATTGTTTTAACTGAATAAAATTGCATCAATACATTCTAGGAACGGTTTGTTAGGCATTTTTAAATTCAGTTTAAAATATGTTTTGTATGTTGGATGTAGAATCAGAAAACGGTTATAAGATTAAACGTCTTGCTATGACCTATGTACGAACTGCCAGAGTTGAAGATCGGGTGAACTTTGGCCAGACATTAACTTGTCCAACATTGGCTGAACGGAGTTCATCCAGGTTGGGCATACAATTGATCTAGCAAGAATGGGTAGTTTTCTCTTTTCCAAACCTAGACCAAGGCTGACTATATTACCCTTGGCTGATTAATCTTGGGCCAGCTTTGGGTCAACTTGTATTGACCGAGGACTTATATTCTATACTTAAATTCAAATAAAACGATACCTAGAATGATTAAATAAATGTTGTAGTCAAATTGTATTTTATTTTTTATTAATTAAAGACACATTAATAATACTGTTCAAATAGTTGATTTTGAAGGAAAATGAGAAATTATTTTAACAATCTGAATTATATTATTTTTTTATTCACCATAAGGTCGTCACTCCTAAGACTGATTGGACACGCACCTCCACTCTTTCCTAAACCGAGCTAATCTCCGCGTTTCCCTAAAACTAGAACATCCCATATCCATAACTATTTGCGAATCTAATCCAGGCCTACCTCTACCCCTCCTAACTCCAGTTTCTGCCTCCAATATGTCTCTGACTAGACCTTCATGCCTGAGAAGGTGTCCTACCAACCTATCGCGCCTATTTCTTATTGACTTCCATAAAGTCCTGTGTTCTCATACTTTTTTTTTTATTAATAAAGAATATTGAACCTGGATTAAAAAATGGATCGCAACGAGACGTTCAATCTTAGAATTGACCGTTTTCGGAGTTTGAGTCAAAGATATACGATGCATTTCTACTCCTTTAGCTACTTACATAATATATCGCGTTGAGGCATCCATTTTTCAAAATAAATATTGGATGGAATCGTTAAATTTTTAGGGAACTTTTCTACTGGTCCTTTCCACAACACTTTGTAGGGTAACTCTGCAAATACTTCACAAAATATTCGCAAAATGTGAATTGGGAGAGTTTCAACAGCTATAAGAGATCCAAAACTCACGTATATTATTCCTCTGAACTCGTTTTCAATGTCCATTTCCATTTCAATTTTCTTTAAGAAAATAGGAATAAGAATGTAACAAATATGTGCTACTGCAGTGAAATAAAATATGTTTCCATTTTGTATCAATAATGGTACACAGAATGCCACATTTCTTACCTTTGGAAGGGGTTTAGACGGGGGAATATGTATTCCAGCTATTTCAATGAAATTTGGAACTTTCGGGGACACATAGTTAATACTAAAGTGAGTATTAATCAATACCATGCTAGTATGATTGTAAATAAGATCATTTAAATGAGGCATTTCTTGTCCAAAAAAATTCCTCGCCACCTCAGTATTATGACTCATAGAATACGTATCATAACTTAAAATAAAAACTTTTTAGAACTAGGAACACAAGTTTAAATTTAACAAAGCAATGCTTTTAATCAGGGATGTTATGCAACTCTGTAACTGTAATCGAAATCATCGAATATCCGAAATAAAAATCTAACCGAAACCGTAACGGATATGATATCCTAAGGTCGTTAGTCTTAGGACTAATTGGACACGTACCTCCACTCTTTCCTATCCTGAGCTAAACTTCACATTTCTTTAAAACTAGAACAACCCACATCCTTAACTATTTGCGAACAGCAATCTAATCTAGATCTACTTCTACTCTTCTTAACTCCTATTTCTGCTTCTAATTTGTCTCTAACTAGCCCTTCATGCCTTAGAAGGTGTCCTATCTCACCTATTTCTTATTGACTTCCGAAGAGTCCTCTGTTCTTCTATTCTTTCTAATAAATTATACCACCACTATTTCTTTTTTCTGTGATCATAGTACCAAAAAATAACCTAGATATAAATATATTGTAGTTCCACCACTACTCTATTTTTCTCCTTTAAACTACCCCATAAATATTAAGTATTTTTGGCTTATAGATTTCAGCGGTTTCTTATGTAAATCTGACCAGTCGAAATGTCATAACTGAATTGACAAATACTAAATTTGTTAATATCACTTTACTTTCTGAAAATATGCGTTTTTCATGAAAAGGTTTAATAATATTCGATAGAGGATTAAATTCTGTAACTGTCGTTCTATCTAAACTAAACAAGTTATTGCCGTTTAAAGTTTCTATTTATTTAATCATAATCTTTGGACACCCTGTATACGTTAGTCAAGTTTTCACAGTTGTGAGCAGGCTTCAGTTTAAATTTAGTAATTTAGTAGTAATACACGTTTAAGTTTAAAAGTTAAAATTATCAGTACATTTTCACAAAATTGATATTATTTCAACATCTTTAAGGTTTGGGTGAGCTCAACCTGTTCCATTAAAAAAAATACAACTTCGATACGTTTTGTTTTATGTACACCCTGTACATTATTAAACCAATAATAAATAATGAAAATGTACCATTTATAGATTCCTATCTACCCCCACAACAAAACTTTTTAGAAATATAGGAGTATAGCCGCTATCGCTCGTGACATTTAACGTAAATAACCCTGTATCGTATCGTATGCATAACATCCCTGATTTTATTAAAAAGAATTAAAAATGTAAAAAATTGGGACAGATACATATCACAAAATTGATGAAACTAAAATTATGAAACTTACACTGCAGATGTGAACAGATAACAAAGAGTATTCAATATCCTTCCGAATAAAGTCATTTTTCTTGAATAAGGCAAGAAGTAAACTGGTACATACGAAGGATTAGAAGGATTACCAATTCTTTTAGAGCCCCATGGTAAATCTATATTGGTGGAAATTGCGATAACGGGTGTTTTGAAATGATGAGCAAACCCGTACATGCAGTCAAAAGAAAATATTTCGGTGAATATTAAATCGTACTTTTTATTCGAATCTCTAAGATTTTTGGCAACGGTGGTATTGAACGCATTTTCGCAAATCCGAATTCCGAATTCGGTAAGGAACATATGAAATGATTTGAAGAAATTCTTATCCTCCATTTTATCGAAACTTAATTTTCCCACAATTTGTGGCAAACTATCCGCAATGCTGAGATCATTATATCTGAAACAATTTTACATTAAACATAAAACAAAGAATAAATTATGAATCTACTTTAAGCATATAAATTGCTTTTTATGTACTACCTACTTCTTTATCTAAGAATTACTTCATTTATAAATGCCAAAAATTTACATATTGTACCTAGGTCTTTTTCCATCAATTTTCCAAAATTATTTATCGTCCAAATACATTTGGTCGTGCTGTTTCGTTACCTTTCATTGCTTACAGTTTTTATCGCTATACTTAAAAATTGCTAGTAATATTTTACTGTTCACTTTACCAAAAAATACCTTGGTGTAGTGTCGTAAGTTCGAGCCAAATAACTTATAATTAATAGATACTAATAACTAGTAAGTATCGTCTGTTGAAATTCAACCGCTTGTGTCACTTTTTTTTACGTAATCGCAATTAAAAGATGCTGCATCAGCCAGAAACCAAACCACTCGTGGCAAGTCAGCAATGGTTTTACACAAAACATCCCTTCACTTTTATTCGTCATGTGGACGATGCCACGGTGAACTTTTACGAAGATTTCTGATTTTTTTCAACGTATATATGCTTTAATTGAATTTAATACCACTAATGACTATTTATTCATAATATATGTACGCCTTTAAACCTATTAAAAAAAAATAATTTTCATTGTAGAAAACTTGCTTCTTATGCTCGGAATTTTCCATAATTAGATGTATTCCGATGAATGATTCACTTCAAAGCTCATGAATATGTGTTTAAATAATGATTATTTTATGTTCAAGAGATCTATATGTTACTTATTATTATTATATCCTTTTTTATTTCTATCTATATTCCTGTCAGTTTACACAAAGCGTATACGTAAAGAAATAAGAATTCTTGCAATAAATTATTATTTTAAACAAGTGCATTTTCATTGACTCTATCTGTCCCAACGAAATGCAAATCTTTGAAATCGATTTAAATTTTGTATAGATCATTTTTTTCTGTGTAAATAAACTGAAAATACATTAGAAAAAGATAAGCTTTTCCACTAAAATTTTGACAAATTCATTTAGTAAGATAGTCGCAATTTTCGACATCCTAGTAGGTATATTATGCATCAAGGGAAGAAAGTATGTCCTGATGTGAATTGCCAATCGAGCCGAAGACATGACCAACATACTATGGGGAGAGAGTACCATAGTCTTTTCCGAGGCGCGTTTACGATTTCTTACTCCTGTCCCGAAAGTACGATTTTTTTTCTTATTTCAGGGACGAGAAGGTGCAACATAATCTTCCAGGCAAGAAATCGCATTTACTGTTTATTACGAAAGTATTATATTTTGCATTTACTGTTTATTACGAAGTATTATATTTTAATATCCTCCGCCTGGAAATTGCCACCCGAGCCGAAGGCCGAAAATAATATAAATCAACTTTCGTTTAATTTTTGATACCTATAGTTTTCAGTAATCGTGAGAACTTATCTATGTTTCTTCAAATATAAATAATCAAGAAGTTTCAGGAGTTACTGTTGTACTAATATGCAAAGAATAAAGGTTTTGCACAAAAAATAGTAAATAACTCATTCTACGAGACATATCTGCGAAACTGGATCCAGCAAAGCTATTAAAAGTTAGTGGTGAAACAAAATATAAACTCAATATTAGAAATCAGATGAAAAATAAAAAAAATATTAATATTTTTAGAAGGGCGTGATGACTTTAAAAATGGTTAAACTCTTTTGTTTTTGATTGGATTTTTAATAATTTCACTGGCGTATATTTAGGTCCAATGTCGTCTCTACACCATCAGCACTTTTTCACACCCTTCATCATAACATCGTCAGTCTTAAGACTGGTTGGACACACACCTCCGCTCTTTCCTATCCTGAGCTAATCACACCCTTACCGTATAAAATATTAGTTATAAAGAATAATAATACAATTGCTACAGAAAGCGTTAATTTGAACTCAATTTATCACTACTGTGACGCTAAAGAGTCAATCAAATTCGAAAACTTTAAAGTTATCGTAAAATATTCGGAATGCAAAATAGATATGCGAAAGTATATCTTCAACGTTCTTTTCATTAAATTTTTGACTGAATTAGAAGGCTGTATTAGCAGTCTTTAGGAATCCCTGAAAATGTAAATATTCGTTTATGAGATTTCCCGGATCAGCAGGTAAATCCGTTTTGTATACGTAATTGAACCAACCTAAGCTTTACGTTAGAGCAACAGCCAACAATCGGCGGCTCGCGGAAGGTCAAAAACTGATCCGACAAAAATTTTTTGAAATTATAAACTATAGAAGGGTAGATATAGAGGGACAAAAAATTAGTATGCAGTAGTTAGCAGTATTAGCATCTAGCAAGGAAGAGTTAGAGATAGCTTTAAATAAAATGAAAGCGGTAATGACAAAATAGCATTGTATAAATAAAAAAAGTAAAACAAAAATACTGGTAAGCAAGGGAAGTAGGGAAAGATCGAATATAAAAATGGAAGTCGAATGATTAGAAGAAGTGTCTGATTTTAGGTATCTAGGAAGGAGTAGTAGGGATATAAAGCAGAGGATAGCGCAGGATCGAGTCGCTTTCAATAAAAAGAAGTCACTTCTATGCTTTAATTATGCGGTTAATTTAAAAAATTGAAAACGATTGTTGTACTTAGATTAGATTACCGTTCGCAAATAGTTAAGGATGTGGGATGTTCTAGTTTTAGGGAAATGCGAAGATTAACTTAAGATATAGGAAGGAATGAAGGTGCATGTCAAACCAGTCTTAGAACTGTCGAGCGTGATGATGATAAACCATTCAAATAAATTTTTTAAAAGATATTTTACAATAAAAAAACTAAAGTGAAAATATTTTGCCGCCCTTACAGCTTCCCCGAATCAAACATTGCATACGTTTCTCCTACAATTAGTTATTTACTCT